AGTATAATGGACCAGGTGAGAAAATAATAATAATAATAATAATAATAATGAACAGCTGTATACCAGACATTTTATGAGGGTGGAGTGGAGAATGGGATCAAAAACAGTGGGTGGAGGGAATTGCACTAGACTATGGTAATGGCACAGGGTGATCTGGTGACGGAAAGCCCACGAGGATTACATTTGAGATGGAAAAATACACAAAACGATGTAAAAAATAAACTATTATATTATTAAAAAAGAAGAAAAAAACCTCATACACCTAAACAATAGAAAAGTAATTTAAAAAAATACCTATTTTCTTTTAATGTTTTACCCTTTAGTGAATTTTGGAGCATCATATTTAAAGAAATAAAAATTAGGTGCCAAGCATTAAGTGCTACAGATATTATAACAAAGTACTCATCATTTTATCACAATTATACCACTATAAATGTAATTGAAATATACATATAAACTAAATTAGAAACGTACATCAACAAATTGTATGATAAAGTGTCTCCTTTGTCCATCAGAATATACAGAAAGGACATATTCACCAGGTTTCCCATGGCTCTCTCGCACCAAGAAGTCTCCTTGTTGTTTTAGTAGGTCTTGAGCTTCTATTCTGGGAATTGCACCGTGGTACCAGTCCTGTTCTGCCAGTGGCTTCTCACTTAGAGGGATCACATCAGACAACTTGAGCAAATATTGGGGGGAAAAAAACTAAATTAGACAAAATAGTCATTTTTTTCTTGCAAAATTCACTAACAAAAACTTTCTTATGCCCCCCCTTTAATTTATCAATTTAAAGTGTATGATGAATCTGAAATTTTCAAAGAAAATATTTCCTAGAACATTGGTGGAGTTATTTAGGAGAAAAACAACTCCTTTAATCATTTATTGTTTTTCTACCTAGCAAGCCCAAAAAATGCACTATTGCCATTTATCATTAGCATTTAAAAGAGAGTTTTTCACTATATCATAAAATAAAATCCTTATGTTTAAAATGTGTGAACCAGGAAATTATGATGAATAGGGTATTTACCACAAAAACAACATCCTTTTTACTTAAATTAAAAATTGATATATTTCTTATTTAACTCACACAGAGTGTGGATTATCTATAACCAATAGTCCAGATGCATTGAATATGGCTTCATTTGATATTGTCTTGTTACTGTATTTCCCATACCTACCCTCATTCCACTAACTCTGCCATATGGTCCTGACTCAGAATATTGATGGCAGATAAGGCTATGGGGATAAATAGCATATATGGAAAGCACCAAAGTACCCTTACAAACACATGGCATAAACTAAGGAGGGCCATCTGGCTGGTATATGTCAGGAAAAGCAAATCATCTGTCATTTTAGGTCAAATGCTAAAACTAAATAATAGAGACAAACATACTCTACTTCTTTGAACTATTTCTAATTGATAGGAGATAGAAACACATATTTTCTAGTTATAAGTAAAAAGTTTATCATTTTCATCTATAGAAGTTAAGCTGCCCAAAATAGTAAAAAGTACTTTATACATGTGGTACAATTATTGTACAATTATTGTACAAAAAACTCCCAATATCCAATATGTACAATGTCTCAAGAAAAAAATAATATAGAAATTGGGATGTTATAATTATTAATAAATGAAAGGCAAACACTCATACATGAGATTTTCAGCATGATACTATGAACTCTATATAGAGACAAATGGTAAATGAAAAATAGCTTTGATGAGTCTGCATTATTTTGTACTAGTAATGAGGACCAACACTTCGTAGAAAAAGTTTCATTTTATGTTATCCAAAATCCGTATTATTCATTTTAAACAGGAACCTGAAAAATCCCAAATACACTTCAAAGAAGCAGCCCATCTTTTGGTTTTCACTTAATATATTCTTTATTTTTTTAAAGTATATACATGGTTTGACTGTACATGAAATTTTTTATATTTTTTTTCTTCTAGTACTAATTATGACAATATAATATTTAAAAAATTAAATTGTGTTTCCAAATATAGATTTAAAGAATGAAACATATAAAATACAAGGTACAACTAAAAGTACTACTGATTTTATTAAAAAGCTACATAATCCCACAAAACTATTTTCTGTGTATACTGAAACTAATAGTTTATAACTCTTAAAGTGGGTTATAATAATTATTAAATATTCCATTCCAAAAATGTATATAATTACATTTCATTGTAGTAAAAACACAATATTTACTACAGAAATATTTCCTAATCTTACCAGTGACAAAAGTGTTTTATTTGGTTCAGAGAAGGAAAAAAGATCAAACTATTAGGAAATTTTGTGTCACTCTTTGCATACATTTTTTATTAGCATTTCTCAAAAACATCCATATAATAAAAAAGCATCACAAGCCAGAATGACATGTGATTAACTTGTCTGATTCAACTCAACCTTTCAAATTTTGATTGACTTAGAAGAATAAAAAATGTGGATAATTTATTAAGTTAAAAGGGAATTTGAAATATAAAACCTCAGCTATAATTCCAAGAGATTCATTAAGAATTTGAAGGTAAGAAATGTGCTTGGGGGAGTATGGAATCATCCTGAAAGATGAGTGTCTTTTCTGTTTGTTTATTCTAAATAAAGAAGTAAATAGAAAGAAAACCACATTGGTATTTCATGCAGATTTATTCCTTGGGTATAATCCTTGGAATACAAGGGAAGTTGAGATATCTCTTATTCCCCAGGCCCTACTATTATGAAATACATACTGGAATTACAGAGTATGTATGTGTATATGCATACATATGACTGAACAGTCATATCTAGCCCCTGACTGGGTCTATTAGCTCCTTCAGAAATATCTCTAGAAGTACTGAAGGAATATTTATTAATAAGACCCCTATGAAATTCAAATGCGATTTTGTAAACTTGATATTAAAAGACTTATGATGTATCAGTCATAAAAATCCAACATCTCACAAGCTATCATAATGACATAAAAATAAAAGGATGCTTTTACATTAAACATCACACCTCTTTAATCTTTATTCTTAAATAACATTGGTTGATAACATTATATAGGTTTTTGGTATACAGAATTAGTATCTGGCATCTATTTATGTTACATTATGATCCTTATCAACAGTTTATCTTCCAAGCAGCATGACCCAATTAAAACACTATACCTGATTTGTCCAAATAACAACCACTTCTGGTGACCAAGATTTTGTTCCCATAATCTAAGAATTTTCTTTATATTTGTGGTTACTGCTTTCTATTTCAACATTTGTACATACTATTCATATATTATGATCACAACTGAAAGTCTAGTTTCCACTGAACACCATACAATTATTCTCGTTTTGATTTACCTCCCCCCTCTGATATCTACCCATTCTGCTGTCAGAATTTAATGATTTTGTTGTTGCTTTCTTTTGTTGTTTTGCTCTTTATCTTCCATTTAAGAGTAAAATCAAAAGGTATGTCTTTTTCCTTCTGACTTAGTTTTTGCTTAGCATAACCCCAAGTTTTGCCCATGTTGTCTCAAATGCAAGACTGAATCTTTTTCTTATACCCGCTTAGTTTTCCATCTTCCTTCCATCATGAACAGTTATATTAATTCCTCACTTTGGTTCTCATGAATAATAATGCAATGAACATAGGGACATATGCATCTTTTCCCTAAATTTAACAACAAATACCTGGACAAATACCTGGATCACATAGTAATTCTACTTATCTCTATGTCGTTTTTCATAGTGGCTATACCAATTTACATTCTCAACACAGAACAAGGATTCCAATTTCTCCACATCCATACCAATACCTGCTGATTCTTAATAGCATATTTTTGAGCCCCAATGGGGGAATGCTTTTTTTGTTGATATAGTATTTAAGATTGTTGTTAAATTTAGGGAAAAGAGAAGGTCCATTTTTTAAAGTTATAGTTAATCAATGCAGTCAATAATTACATTTAAAATAAGAATTCATGATTAGTTATTTTGAGATCTTGATTATTTTTGTTGGACCTTGTTCCTAAAGACAATTCCAGAAGAAACATACTAAACTGTGAAATAAAAGATTATGATAAATGAAGAGACTATGAGACATCAATAGTAGAAAGTATTTTTCTACTAAAAGTGGACATCATTTTTTCCACACCCTACTTTAGTCTAATTCCCAAGTTTATATTAAGGATTTGAATACTGTTATCCCAAGTATGAGTACAAAATGAGCTCATTTTAGGGAGCCAAAGATTTAAGTATTTAATAAAGGCAAAGTCTGAACTATTTTAAAATTAAACACTCAAATAAATAATTAAAAAATGAAAAGAATGGAAAATAAAGCAAGTAAACTATCATTGAGCTCAAACAAAGTAAATAAAACTTTAATACTAACATTAAAAAAAAAAACATTAGGGGGTGGGGTCTAACAGACTATAGTGGGGAACTGTGATTGCCATAGTGGTAGGTGTGGTGTGATAACATACATCTGATGTAGACTGAACCTATACCTCTGAATCACCCACAAGTTGTACACCAATGTTAACTCAAGAAGAAAAATAACATAAAATGGAATTTAGTTCTTTTATTTTATAACTTTAGTTATTAACTTATCACCTCAGTGATAAATTATGTCACATTTAGTTTAATAACATACTGCGCTGACTCTGAGAAACTCATGGGATTTTAAACATTTTTCAAGAATGCTATGAAGAATTATTTCATTTTAAAGCTATATATCACTGAGAAATTTTAGAAATACATTAAGAATCATATATCATACAATTAGAACTAAGACAATACTGTTTTATTGAATAGTAATCTGCCACAAGGCATAAAAAGTTATTTTTAGTGAAAGAGAAGTGTGATCATAGGTAAGAAAAGTATACTTTTATCATTTATTTTCCAATATTTTCATTTTATAAATGTTAGTATAAAATAATTCTAAAATTAAAATAAAACAGATGATTCCAGAATATAGAATAATAAGAATATTATGGAGACAAAAGGTGAATAATTTAAGACTTTTTCTAACACTTATATAGAACAATTTAAACCAAGATGTACTTTAATCTGACTCGATCGAACATTTTTTTTAGAGTGACAGTATTGGATAAGTATATTTCAGCTTAGTGATCAACTAGTACTCACAAGGAGCTCTAAAGAAGGAAGAAGTTCTTTGCTCGACCACTTATAACAGAAATTATGGAGTAAAATGAAGACTGAAGTAAGTAATTAATTATGTAAGTAAGTAAATAAGTAATTATGTTAAGGTAATTAGGACAGACCTCTTAAAAATGATGTGGTTTGAAAGGCTTCCACAGGAAGTGGACCCTCAATATTGCCAATAGGCTTTCAGATTATACAATTAATCCTGTCAACCATGTGAAATTAAAATCTATTGAAACACAGGAATAGGCTGGATATAGAGGAGATCTCATTACCCAGAGGAACGAATAATAGGTTAGCTCCCTCAATACACCTGAAGAAAGCACATGCTTGGAACTGGTAAAATTTATTAAAATGTTATTCTAACTACAACATATATTAAACATCTACCATCAAACACTATATTCAGTTAAAACAAGTATTCTGTTACACTTTCTTCCAAGGTAACTGTATTAGCCATAGTGTTAAAATTGCATAAATAAATTGGTGTGTCAAGTTCAGTAAGAATATCAGTAGCTTTCATTTCCCTATGTACAATGTAATTAATTGATCTGCATTACCTAAAATTATGCTCTATAGTTCTAATTGTGTATGTTTATTTAAATAAAAATTGACTTCATAGTTGTTTTTCAAGATTTTAAAGTAAATATGCTTCCACATACAAAAGAATTAGGTTGGATTACCATCTCATACTATCTGCAGAATTTAACTCATAATGAATTAAAAACCTGCATGATAAGAGGCAAAACTGTAAAACTCTCAGGAGGAAATAAAGTGTTACAAGTTGCAGATTTCTCTTTCTCTCTTTGATTCACACACACAGACATATACATATATTCATTGCATACATAAAGTTAAATTATGCTTATAAAGGAAAATTACAAATGATATTCAAATTTACAGATGACATCCACTGGTACCTGACAAAGATCTAAACAATGACTATTTTCAAAAGCACTTAGAGTAAATCTTACTTACTGTTGAAGAGCCAAGTGCAGATTTTGGAGACCTAATTATTCCAGCAATTGAATGACGAATAGACTCAAATTTGGAGAGTCTCTCCTTTCTTTCCTGGAGAGATTGAGAAAGACTTTAGCAAAAATAAACTATACTGTTTATACTTATTGTCACTGTTAAGTATTATATATGCACAATGCACCCTCATGCTTTCCATTGAAACAAAAATGTCCATCGACGTTAAAAATCACAGTCAAATATACATATATAACTTTGTAGCTCTTTATTTTCCTAGTCTGTTGATATAGCTCTTAATTTGGGGAAAAAAAAGAAAAAAATCAGTCTGTGAGATGGAAAATAAATGTAAAAGACATTCACTGGAAACCACTTATCATCAGGGAAAAAGTTAAATGTATGGAAAACCATGATTAATAAGATTTCAGATAGTACTATAGTTGTTAAAGATTTTTAAGGAAAAAAATAATAATAGGGAAAAACGAGAATTAACTGGGTCACATTTTTAAAAGCTGAATTCCACTTAAGTAGCTAGAAAGTTTCCAAACTTACACATACGATGATGTAGGAAGAAGAGAAAGCAGGGAAGAAGAGTATAAGACAATGGAAAAGAGCAGGAAGAGGAGGAAGTACAGTAAGAAACATATGTTTAATCCAGCACTATTTACAAAAGTTAAAATATCAAAACAGCATTAAGGGCCCCATAACAGATTATTGAATCAAGAAAATGTGATATATAAACACAAAAAAAATACTATCCAGTGATCCAGAAACATAAACTCATGTCAATCATGGCAACATGGATTGAGCTGGAAGGGATTATCCTAAGCAAAGTGAGGCAGAAGGATAAATACTGAGTGGTTTCACTTATAAGTATAATCTAAAGAAACCAAACATAAGGACATATAAAAAAAACAAAAGTCACAATTTGATCACAGATCTTAGACAAATAGCAGGGGAGGGAGGAGAAAGGGGATCAAAATAGGAGAAGAGCACAAGGGACTATAGTAATGGACTGTGCTATGTTGGTAAAAAACTCTATGACTAAACCTGAGAGGAGAGAGCAAATAACACATACAATTTAACCATGCAAGAAAATAAATTTTAAAAAATTAACTGGATATAAGGATATACATATTTAATAAAAGTTTATTTTTTTAAGATGTATTTATTTATGCTCAGATACAGGCCAGAAGTGCAGGGCGGAGGAGGGGGTGGTGAGAGGATTCACGAGAGACAGAGTGGAGAACAGAACAGGCAGATCAATGAAGTACACTGCTGAGGGGAGCAGTGGGCGAGACAGGAAAGGTCTGCTGTGCCATGTGAGTCAGCAGGCCAGGGTTCCAACTCAGTGCTCATAGTAATGAGATTGAATCCCTGTGACACCAGGGAGGACCCAATAAAACTTATTTTAAAAAAGCAAATCATTACCTTCATATATGTGTACATCACCCTAGGAATATGACTATGCATTTTACAGTCTTATTCCTAACTGTAATTTCTACTTTACTTTTTAGCAAAATTCACTCTAACTGATTCACTAGATTAACAGAAAAACAGTCTTCAGATACTCAAGGAATATAGTGACCTTTCTTTAAAGCATGTCCAGCTTCAACTTAATTGTTTCTTTATGAATATACAATTTATTTATTAGACATACTTTAGAACCAAAGTAAGACATATAAATCATTTGTGGACACTAAGTTTTTTTTTAATAGTAAAGTAAGAAAAAGTAAATTTTAGTCTGTTCCTATAATTGTGCTGAGTTTGTTGAAGAGATTTTAATTATTAGTTACATGTGTAGTTTACATGATTCTTTTATTAACAGTAATAATCTATATATTTTGTTTCTTTTTGTCCTTTTTATCTTTTATAACAAATGTGTTAGCAAATATTTTTAAAAATTTATTTCATGCAAGGCATTGTTCTATTAACCACAGTAGTCCTTATTATGATACCAATTCTTCAAATGAAAAAATAAACTCATATCTAATATAAATACATCATTTGCATTTCAAAGAGTATGATGGAAAATTTCACTTAGGATTATCCTCTCCAATTCCATCCATGCTATGCAATAGCATCATTTTTTTATGGCTGAATATATGGCATGTCTTCTATATCCATGCATCTGTCCTCAGTTTCCATCACTTGCCTACTGGAGATAGTGCTACAATGGACTAAAGAGTACATCTATCCCTTCAACTTGGTCTTTTCATACCTTTAGTTTTATACTTTTAGTACAGAGTACTATAATGGAATTGCTGGATCATATAAAAATAGTAGGTCTATTTTTTAATATTTTGAGAAGCATCCATACTGTTTACCCCAACGATTAAACCAACTTACATTCTCATCAACAAAGTAGGAGGTTCATCTAATTATTTTCATCTATATGGGCCATTTCCACACATGTAAGGTTGTATCTCACTGTGTTTTTGATTTGTATTTCCTTTATGATAGTGATTATTGGGATTTTTTTTTTCATATGCTTGATGGTCATTGGCATGGTTTTCTTACAGAAGTGTCTAATTATTAGTTGTGCCCATTTTTTTATTGGGTTATTTGTTTTGTTCTGTTGAGTTGTATAAGTTCTTTGTAGATCATGGTTGGATATTAGAGCCTTGTCAAATATAAGATGTGTAAACATTTTCTCCCTTTCACTAGTGTATATATTGGTTTTAATAATGAACCCACAAATGCATCACAAACACCAATGTTCTGAGTATTTTGTTATGATTCCTCTGATGTATTTTATGGTTTTCAGGACTTACATTTAAGGCCTTAATCCATTTTGAGTTAATATTGTACATACTGTTAGCCAAGTGTCTAGTTTCACATGTTTACATACACTGGTCAAGTGACCCAACACAATTTGTTGGAGGGGCATTTCTTTCTCCAATGTATATTCTTGGCTCTTTAGTTGTAGATTAACTGTCAATAGAAGTGGAGGTTTACTTATGGGTTCTCAATTCCATTTCATTGATCTATGTTTGTCTATTGTTATTCCCGTAACATATTGTTTTGAGTACTATAGCTGTATAGTATAATATGGTTTCTTGAAGAGCGATATTGCCATTCTTGCTCTTTTTTGGTCAGGACTGCAATAGTTATCCACACACATTTTCAGGATTTCTTTGACTATTTGGGATCTTTTGTGGTTCCATATGTATTTCAGTATTGTTTGAAGAACACCCTTAAAGTCTTCCTAGGGACTACATTTAATCAGTATATTGCTTTGGGAAAGATGGTCACTTTAACAATGTTCAAACTTCCAGTTCATGAGGAAGGAATATCTTTCCATTTCTTAGTGTCTTCTATTTCCTTTAATACAGTTACAGTTTTCATTATACAGGCACTTCACTTCATTATTTAAGTATAGTCCTCAATATTTAATTAGTTATGATGTGATACCCTGGGACCCCAGAGATGAGAGCTATCAGTGGCGCCATAAATATGATCCTATGTACACTAAGCATGTATAATAGGGACAGGGCTCTCCCTGGTGGTGCAACAGGTTAAAGCACCACATTATGAAGCTCTTCAAAGCCACTGTAGCACTAATTCGATCAGAACAGGCAGATCTACTAAGTACACTGCTGAGGAGAGCAGCGGGCTGGGTCAGGAGAGGTCTGCCGTGCCACGTGGATCACCTCCGGGGCGGGAATTGAACTCATGCGGAAATGGCTTTAGCTTCTCAGTGCTGTTTTAACCTGCTGCACCACCAGGGAGGGCCAGTCATGGCTTTTCTTAAAAAACACCATCACATATAACAACTCCAAATTAACTAATTCAAATGCCTGTCTTGTTACATCCTTATATGCCACCAGTTTTTCAGTTAGCTCCACTATAATCATTTGTCCACTTAACTAGAATTGTCAGACTTTGAATATACTAATTTCCCCAAATCAATCTTTTACTCTTTATTCTCTGTTTAACTAATTTAGATGCAATGATGCATCATTTCAATGACACTCTTTCAATATTCTAAAGTCCCTTGTTAACCTGTCTCTTCTGTGCACTCATACAGGAAATCACAATACTACACTCAAATCACTACTGGAAGAGATTCAATGATTAACAACAACAACAAATGGGACCTAAATATCTAAAGCACTACTACAATTTTCTACCAATTCATGTACTATTCCACTGTCATTTGTCAACAATTTCACTATTTTGGTGCCTAAAACCACATTGTTCTACACCTTCCACTTCCTTATTATGAAACTACAAGCAAGGAACCCTTTCATCTGCCTTTCCAAACCTTTTCAAAAGCATCACTTCTGTTTCTATTGTAACCTTCTCCTTTTGGGAAACATGGCAGTGTCTCACCTCAGGAAGACACTTTGGATCTCAACATCTTTCTGACACCCACAAAACCTTACACCTTAACAAGAACCAAACAGATCTCCCTTTGAGAACTGTCTACCCTTCCTTTTCAACATGGTCTTTCCTATCCCATCAGTTTTTAAAGGTATTTAATTTACTCTCGTAGGAAACAAAGGAAGAGAGTAGTACATGAGAAAGGAAGAGTAGAAAGGAATTATGAAGGAAGAGATGAACCTCTCCTTTTCTCCACACATCCCACTCCAACAACTGTTTTCTCTTTATAAATATCCCTAAAGATGTTAAGTATGTTCAGTCACCATTTTTGTCTCCTTCCACTCATTTGACAGTTTGCTTCCTTCTGGCAATCATCGTATCACTTCACCAAAGCAGATGCCCACAAGCTTAGTTTTACAAACCCACACTTCTCACTTACAACATCTCTCTGGGCATGTATCCTACCCGAAATATTTTTTGACCTAACACACTCTCATTCACCACTCAAAATACATATGCCTAGTTACCTTAGCAAGTTCCCCCACTTTACCATTCCATTAAATGGGAACATGTTTCTTCTACAGAGTTAGGTCCCCTCCCCTCTCTTCCCTTCCCCTTCCCCTTCCCTCCCCTCCTCTCCTCTTCTCACTGTACACTTCCTAAATAAGAAGTTATATTTTCTATTCCCCATATTGAATTATCACCTTAACCAAGCCTATTCAAAAATTAATCTTCAAAATTCCTGAGGTTTTATAAGTACTACTCAAATTGTT